AGGAACAGTCACATCAGTCCTCAGTAGGAAGGGGTGAGGTCATAGATGACACAACAATTGATCATGACTATAATATATTCACTAGTATACTACATAAAGCACAAGAACAAAATATACCATACAGGAAAATTAGGTCAAATAAGAATGAGCCAAGGTGGATGACCAGAAAACTTAAACATGACATAGGAATAAAGAAAGGAATTTATAAGAAATTAAAGGGAGGGGAGGAGCAGCTCAGAAATAGGTATAATGAACTATCTAGGAATATTAAGAAATATGTAAGGAAAGCAAAGAGAGACTATGAAGTCAAAATAGCAAAAGAATCCAAGGTGAATCCCAAGGGATTTTTCCAGGTATATAGAACAAAAGTCAAGGACAAGGTTGGGCCCTTAAAGTCAGGGAGGGGAGAAGTGATAAATGGCAGTGAATAAATAAGCAAAGCATTGAACAACTACTTCTTATCAGTTTTCACAGAAGAAATTTGCGAGGAAATTCCAGAGATGGAACTGATATTTAGGGGAAAGGAAGAAGAGAAATTAAAGAATATCACTATCAGAAAAGAGGATGTTCTTAAGAGGATAAATAAACTAAAGAAGACAAAAACCCCAGGGCTGGATGAAATTTTCCCTCGAGTCTTGAAAGAGTGTAGGGAACAGATTAGCGAACCCCTTGTAAATTTATTTACAAAATCATTAGACACCGGAGTTGTGCCAAACTTGTGGAAACAGGCAAATGTAGTACCCATATTCAAAAAGGGAGACAGAGCATCAGCGTCAAATTGCCGGCCTATCAGTTTGACGTCAGTAGTGGGGAAATTTCTTGAATCAATTATAGCAGATAACATCCGATTGCATCTTGAGAAAGGCAAATTAATCTACGACTCGCAACATGGGTTTACAAAGGGAAAATCTTGTCTAACAAATCTGCTGACGTTTTTTAGGAAAGTCTTCGAGGTAGTAGATAATGACGAAAATTATGATGTTATTTACTTTGACTTTAGCAAAACATTTGACAGAGTACCGCATCAGAGGCTTCTGAGAAAAATTAAGGCTCATGGTATCGAGGGGAACGTTTTAAATTGGATAAAATCATGGCTCACCGATAGAACGCAGAGGGTCAGCGTAGATGGTGTTAAATCTGAGTGGGGCCATGTAACCAGTGGGGTTCCCCAGGGGTCAGTACTAGGTCCATTCTTGTTCATAATCTACATAAACGATCTAGATACTGGGATCAGCAGTGACATAAGCAAGTTTGCGGATGACACCAAAATAGGGCGGCAGATTAATTCAGGGCAGGATGCAAATGCATTACAGGAGGATCTAAACAAACTGCAGGGGTGGTCTGAAAAATGGCAAATGAAATTCAACACCAGCAAGTGCAGCGTACTTAATATTGGAAGAACAAATACTGACAATGTATGCAGCCTTAACAGCATCAACCTAGAGAAGTCGACTTGTGAAAGAGACCTAGGGGTACTTGTAAGCCCGAACCTACGGCCTAGAAAACAGTGCGTTAATGTTCGAAATAAGGCAGAGTATTGGGTTTTATATCTAGAAGTCTAAGTAATAAGAGTGCAGAGGTCTTATTGGAACTATATCTTGCGCTAATCAGGCCGCATCTTGATTATGCGGTTCAGTTCTGGTGCCCTTATTATAGAATGGATATCAATTCACTAGAGTCGGTGCAGCGAAGAATGACGAAAATGATTCCGGGACTTAGAAACCTTCCATATCAGGATAGGTTGAAGAAACTTAACTTGCATTCCCTAGAAAGACGAAGAGTGCGGGGAGATATGATAGAAGTATTTAAGTGGGTGAAAGGAATCAATAAAGGGGATATAGATAAAGTTTTTATAATATCCGAGCAGGATAGGACTCGGAGCAACGGATTTAAGTTGGATAAGTTTAGGTTTCGGAGGGAGATAGGAAGAAACTGGTTCACAAATAGGGTGGTGGACGAGTGGAACAAGCTTAGCAACTTTGTAGTAAGTGCTGGAACTCTGGAAAGTTTCAAAAGGAGGCTAGATAGATTCATGGATGATAGAGAGTGGTAGTAACTCTCGATAGGAGCTGCCATGCACAGCCCAACCGGCCTATTGCAGACTCCTTACTTTCTTATGTTCTTATGTAACTGAAAATGCAGTAAAGGACTTAACTTTGTCTTTGAGCTGACTGTTAATATTCTCTGATAATTCAACAATTCTTTCTGCAACTAGTCTTATTGTTCTTTCATTGGTGATGATGATTGAGTATTTTGTTCTAGGAAACAGCAGACTATTTTATTCAGCTGAGGGATACACTCACTATTTTGTTTTAGCTCCTCAAGGTAAGGCTGGAGCAGCAAATGGGTCGCGAGCCGTATGCAAGAGTGTGTCGGGCCGCATCTTTGACACCCCTGGTTTATATAGTCTAAAATCCTACTCTGAAATATAACAATAAGTAGGTGCTCTTCGCTTGAAGATAGATCATCCGGGAGTCTCTGGACCACACTCTGGGCTTAGGATGTCTTCTAAGCCATTAAACACTTTGTTACTTGACTGGGCGTTTATGTTTCTGTCAAGTCTTGACATGCACAACCAATATAAACTTAAATGGAATTACTTTCGGTTGATAGAAGTTACTAGATCTCGAGCCTTTTCCATGGTAAGGTAAGGTAAGGTTAGGAAAGGTTAGGTTAAGATACTTTCCACTAGTTTTACGATGAAATAGAACATCACTACTGAATGTAGCACACCAAAAACCTCTGAAAATAATACTTTTCTAAGAAAAAAAGTGGGATACCACTATTATGCACTTTTACCCCCTTTTTATTAGGTTTGATGAACTTGGATTGAGTTAGGTATCATTTAACCATGATTTCAGTTTTCAACTTTTTGTCTTTAACCATTATGATGATAATTGTGAAGTTTTGGCCGTAAACCACTTGTCCATTACCTCAGTAACTAAAATGTAAAAGCAGATAAGAGTGTCCAAATTCACCATTACCAAAGCTTCTACATAGATCACAGTTGCCACATATAAATGAGTCATATGTGGTACATCTACCGAGGAATTTCTTGAAGGATTTTACTATGAGGCTGCAATAACAACTATCTTCAGTTTGCAGAGGAAGATATTAGCCACCTTTGAAACATTTCACATAAAAACTTTACTAATAAATAAAGAGACAATTAACTAAAATGAAATATACAGAAAAATATTGTAAGAAATTTTTTTTTCGGTGTTTAATGTGTTGGTGTAGTTTTCGGTGTTCAGATGAGGAGGGAGGGATCCATGAAATCGAAAGCAAATTTTTACCTTTTTTTGGGGGTTAGCTAAGGTTTTCAAGGGTTTGTTTGGTGTTCTTTTTAGTATTCTCCCCACATTTTCCCTCTACTTCAAAACCCTGTCCACTTTGAACAGCCATTATTGGGGAGGTCTTATCGTTTAAAATACTCGAAAAACATAAATTTGCGCTAAAAACGCCATAGAAGAAAGTCGATTCCCAACTAAAAAAGAAACTGGCACAACACATTGCCGAAATAAAATTTGCGTCATCCAAATTTACCCTATTTTCTTCTATAAATGTCTAAGGTGATCACGAGTGCACCCTATGGGGCTCTAATATTGTTGTGACATGATCGACTTTTGTCTCCTATTCAGTTATGTATCAGTCGCAGGGATTGGCTGAGAGGAAACACACCTGTCGGCATTTTACGAACTAATGCCAGAGTTCGTACGAGCACCATAGCTAAAATACGAACCATTAGTGAATCGTTCTTACGGTAGTTCATGAACTTCGTATTTCAGCAGTGTTAGTGAATTTGGGCCCTGGTCTCCCTCTATGAAAGTTGAAACGATGCTGATCTGACTGTGATGCCACGCTACCATTCGCGTCCCCACGGGTTGATTCACAGGACAATGTCTGTGGCTTAAAATTGAATTTTCTCTAAATGCTAAATTATAATCGTTTGCATTTTGTTAAATTTATTATTTTAGTATGAAGTATTTTCTTTATAAATTTGGTAATTAAACAAACTGTAGTTTAGAAGACAGTAGTTTCACCTCCCGCCAAAATATTGTTATGTCGAGGCATAATTTGGTATAATAATGTTTGTAAACTAGGTGTTTTGATTATATTCTGTCCCAAGCAGCAATTATTTTGGCAAATTCAGGGAGATTTTTTTTTAATATTGTTGCATTACTTATGTAAGGATATTCTCGAATATATGGCATAATTTTTTTTATTATTTACTTCTTATTGTAAACCTTGACCAGAGTAGAATTTTCTAGAACCTCCCAGGTGTCTCTGGGTTGTATTAGGCCCAGGGTGTTCTGGGATCATCTGATGATGAGGCATATAGCGGCAGTGTACGGTAACTCAGTCAGTTGACCGTTTTGCTCAGGGTGTAAAGTACAACAAGCCTAGTAAGACAATTGAAGGTTATTGTTGTGCAAGTATTGTGGAATTGTTGTAATCAATATAAAGTGAAAAGACTGGGGAATTGTACACTGGTGGTGTGCTGACGAAGTATTCGAAATGAGGAGGCCAGCTGTGAAGACATTTTCCCTGTCAACAGTATTGTGAAGAATTAGTGCTTATTAAATAAGACTACAGAGCACAAGTGTGTTTCTGTGACCTGGTGGAAATCTACCTGCCTGTTGTTTGTCTGTACACTGATACCGATCGTCGGGAAATTACCAGAGACTGGCGGGACAGCCAATGATAAATTCGTCTACACCAGTGATGTCGACTATTTCTGTATATACTACCTGGTCGTTGGTAACCAGTGGTGGAAGCTGGATAAGTGGTGAAAGAAGGGTCGTAACTATGTTTCCTTTCTTACCAGTCATTCGAGCGGCACATATTTTAAACATTTACTTTGTTGTCTCGTCTGAATAACTAGAAACTTAATATTCTAATATTTAGCAGAAACAAATATTTACAATTATATTTACATATATATTGCAATACTTTTTTCGCCAATAATTATGATGACACACTCTTGTCATTTCTTGCAGCTCCTGGCTACTTCTTTGTTATTTCGTCGTTTGCGGTAACTTATTTGAAGGTACCGCAGCTAGGAGGTCTGGTGGTGTACTTGGGGATGTGTAAGGCCCTTCTTGACCACACCCAAATGCTCGTCTCTACCGTGGCCGTCAGCGTTTCGGATTTGTTACCTGTCAAATGGAGGAGTGGAAGTCGACTCCTCGCCTGGCAGTGTGTCTTGTGTGGCCTGGGGTTCCTCTTCAGTCTCCCCTTCGTTACTAATGTAAGTTATGATATAGTTCGGCACAGGTTTCGCAGATCTGGTTGTTATTAATTTAACGTTGTTTAAATTCATTCACCATAGTTGAAAATACTTATTTACAATTTTGTCTTTACACAATAATCAGTATGTGTGAACTTAAGTTCACACATACAAATACTCACTAAAGGCAGCTTCACGAGGGCACTTGTACCGGCAATTTGGGGTTTTGACTGGAACTAACGGCTGGTTTTCAGGGACTAGCGGCTGGAGTTTCTGCCAAAAGCTAATATCTCAAGTCCGACGTATTGACCTTAAAATCGTAGATACCAGCAATTCTCCAGAGTCAAAAGTGAACCACTTTTGTAATATATAAAAAGTTAAAAGAAATTGTTTTATGTATGAGTGATGAACAGTTATTGTTCAACTAATTATAATATATGCAGAAAAATTTTGAATCAGTTTGACCAAGGACAACTGACAAAGCGATGAGAGTTATGTTTCTAGTAGCATCTTAGCGTTCTTGGGGCTAGGAGGTCACCCATCCAAGTACTAACCAAACCCAACGTTGTTTAACTTCACTGATCGGAAATGTACCAGTGTACTATGGGCGTTCCAGAACTTTTGACTAGCATTTTGAATTATATACTCAGGTAGGAAATTTAACCTAAAAATTTAAAAACTAGTGTTAATTAGGGATATCCCTGTTTGTTTAGTCTGTTTCTCCAGCCCAAGACCAAGTTTTCTTCCTTTTCTCCAGCCAGGAACGAATCCTCGAGCATTTCTTCTCACGTTTATACTGAAAACAATACAAAGCAAGTGTTGAAAGAACTCACAGTTCATCTTCAAAATCTTCAAAGGTATCCATCTTGTTACTGTTTTGGCTTGACTAAACTTCCCTCTTTTGGTTCCTCTCCCCCACTTTGTTTTCTCATCTCTAGCTTCCTTGAGAACCAATCCATGGCAGTTGTTGTTGAGGGATCGATTTCTCGCTCTTTCTCTACCAGTAGTGGCGTTCCACAGGGTTCTGTTCTTTCACCAACTCTCTTCTTTCTTTTTATCAATGATTTACTTCACACTACAACTAATTCTATCCATTCTTACGCTGATGATTCTACTCTTCACTCTTCCTCACATTTTCCCCTTCCTCCTAACTCTCAAACTAGATCTGTTTCTAGAACTGATATCATTACTTCTATCGACGCGGATCTGTACAGCATCTCTGAATGGGGAGGTACAAACTTGGTTAAGTTCAATAGTAATAAAACTCAATATTTACCAATTACACTTTGTAAATTAGACGATCTCCCACCAATTACATTTCAGGACGCTATCATCCTCCCAAATTCTGAAATAAACATGTTAGGCCTCACCATTTCCTCCAATATGTCCTGGAAATCACACATCCTTAGTATAACTAAAGCTGCCTCCCGAAAGTTAGGAATGCTGTACAGATGCCGCAGCTACGTCACTCCTGAGCAGTTGCTCCACGTATATAAGGGATTCATTCGTCCTAACTTGTAGTACTGCTCTCATATATGGGATGACTCTTCTTCTGTCCAACTATTAGATTGGGTGGAATCAAAGGCATTTCGTCTTATTAACTCTCCTCCTTTAGTCGACAATCTCTCTTCCCTTTCTCTTCGCAGCAATGTTGCTTCACTCTCTCTCTTTTACAGGTACTTTAACGAGCAATGTTCGGTGGATTTGGCATCCTGTGTACCGCCTGCAAGGCCGTGGGTTCTTAACACATGTCTTGCCCGCGGTGTCCACCGTTTCTCTGTGGATGTCAGTCACACGAGAATAACCCGTTATAGTACCTCCTTCTTTCCTCACACGGCCAAACTGCGAAATGCTCTGCCTTCTTCTGTGTTTCCATGCTCTTACTGTACAATCTGTCTCACTTTAAAAAGCTGGTTTTCCGGTATCTTCGTGGTGTAGATTAATACAGTATAACCTTCTTTTTCTATATTTACAATTTCTTTCCGTTCTTATTTTTTTCGCCCCCCAGGCTCCGTTGTGGGTAGTTTGACCTGTGCCCGGGTGGGCTAATTCCCGTAAAAAAAAAGAAAAAAAAAGCGCTCCATGCTGTTACAGGGTCAAGAGTACCTTCGTCGTGTGAACACACTTCTTAAAAGTATGGGGTAAAACCATTGCCTCTAGTGTTAGCCGAAAGCGAAAAGTGCCGTTACAAGTGTCCGTGCCATGTGACGCCTACATAAGAGTATTCAAGGAAGATCATAATTATTTATACAGTACTCTGACAATTATATTGTACTGTATACTACCAAGCAAAATTCCGCCATCTCAATAATGAAATTATTGAATTTTAAAATCCCACCTTGCCCGCTTTAGGTTAGACTGGCATGACTGTTTAATGAATAATATGTAAAGTTCTCTCTCACTACCTCGCAAATCAGGAAGGGATCTTCCTCGTGAAAGCTGTGGATGCTTACATGCCATGGTTGTGCGGGATAGTGCTGGGGTCGATGGAGGTGGCTGGCCTCGTCTACCTGTACGGAGTTGACAACATTTGTCATAATTTCCAGCTGATGGTCAGGAAAAAACTGGTGCTCTTTGCTTGCATCTGGAAATTCCTATTATTGCCAAGTTTTCTGGTAAGTTCTTACATTTATCCATCATTACGTCAGAGGGTTATTAATGACAGCCATAAGTAATTACATGTTGATTTACCAAATGAGTATGATTATCAGTTAAACATATTAACAGTCGTAATTAGGTACAACTGGGGAGCCAATCTTTAAGCGCACATTAACCGTAGGTGAACAGTTACCTCCATATGAACGTACCACAAAGATTGTGTGAGGGTTTAGGTACGAGATGTGGTAGAGCTGTGTCATCGTCAGGGTTGAATGAATGGGCGTGGAATAGTGAAATTACCCGTTTTGTGTGGCCACACATCACATGGATGACTTATATGTTTATATCATTATTGTTATTATATTACTGCATTACTGCAGATATTTATGAAATGCATTGCTTACTGTTTTCATTGTGTTATGATAATAAGTTGAAGTGTTCGTCTATGTTGGTTGATAATTATTGTTCAGACATCCAGTGTTTGCATAATATGTTTGATAGTCTACTTTAGCTGACAGCATATCAATTAGTAATCTGCAGTACAGCACTGTCTGTGTGAGACAACTGCACTGCACACCAACACGCTCAAATCCGTGGTAGAGACATAAATCACCCGATATTAATGATGTGTGCATCTCATTATGAGCTACGGGTGATGTGTTTAACAACCCATGTACTGTAATATATCTCATTAATAATACCAAGTTATAAAATCTTAATTTGGTGGCTTGTTTGAGATGGGTGTAATTCCGGTGGTAAGTGAATGTGTTTTATCCTCTTTTCAACTATAGGCTATTACTTCTATGCCATCTTTCATTTCATAGTTACCAACTGTGCTTAATATGTCAGTAGAATAATAGGTCCAGGAACACGAAATTACAATTTATGACTTGTTTGGTCAGGCTTAATGATGGCAATAATTCGGTTTGGTTCACACAGCTTTGGTGGACTGACCAGGAATTACCAATGTTCAGAGTGTTGCAACAGCTCTGGTAACCAACAAGTATATCAAGTAATAAATTAAAAAATATTTCTCTACCCACTCCTTCCATACAGCAAACACATTACTTATTCGATGGGACTCTAATGGCGTGGTAAATACAAAATACAAAACCTCGTTTCATGGGACAGTGTAGGGGGGTTTATGATAATTATGATTTTATACATATTATTGATGCAGACTACTGGATATAATTTTCAGAACCGGAATTAATTTTTTTTAATTCATCAAACTGTGTTCCTATTTCACTGTGACTGCTGCATATCATATCTCTGACAAGATGATAGTGCCGAACTGCATATGAAACAAAATTATCATTAGGTAAATAAGTTAAGTTAATATGTTGTTAGGTGTTTGTTTACAAATACAATTTTCACAAACACATATATTATGACAACACTTGTTGTCTAACCAATAGTTAATAGCAGACACATCTGAACTCTTTTTACCTTTATTATAATATTACATCTTATATTTGTATAAAAATTATTTCAGAATATCTTTCACACCATTCTGATACATCCCATCAACATCTGCGATAATATATAAACAATAAAGGAGGTAAGCAGATTAACGAGCCCTGTAATGCGTGTTATGCAGCATTGCTGTGTAGCCACAACTGAGGGACTAGGCCTAAACTACGGAGAACGGCAAACAGCGTAATCCAGGGTTTGACGCCCATGGTTTCACGCCCAGAGCTGTCTGACACATGTCGTACCTGTGCTCACACACACACACTCCCAGGCCGTGGTACGTTCATGTAGAGGCAACTGTACTTACATCCTCTGGCAGGCAATGGGCGTATGGGCGTGTGTGCAAGGCGTTGATGGCCCGGTGGTATGGGAGAACCTGCAGTTGTCTCCAGACAGGGAAGACTTCTATCGGCAAGTGGGTTTGGGTGTGGCACTCCTACCCCCAGCACTCGCCCTCCTCACCACACTGGTCCTACTCGTCCTTGCCAGGCAGGTCAGTCCCTCGCCCACCTAAGAATATTAATCAAATTGTCCGTGTTTCAGGTTCACTATTACAGTTTGTTCTGTAAACTATTGGACCTGGCTATTGTACACCATCAGCTGCAGCGCTCCACGTTCAGTACTAACCTCATGTGATCACCACAGTTTTAATAAATTAAGTACCGAGTTGCTCAATATTACTGTACAAAACCCTTTTTGTAGTGTTATGAAAATAAGCATTGCACCCAATTATGTATTGATTTTAGGTGGGCAATACAGCACTGCTGTGGTGATACTACAACTATAAGGGCTGTTATTAATATTATCGGTGCATAAATAGATTAATATACTAATTAAACGATCTGATGAAAACCCGACAAATAAAACTAAAACAAAAGACAGTTTTGTTAAAACAGATCTCAACCTCTTATAACGCAATTTATCTTAGAAAGTTTTACCTAATTTACCTAATTAACCCAACGGCCACAACAGCTAGAGACGGTCATGATGGGGGGAAAAGGCCAGTGGCTTGTGTAGGATCCTTCCATTGTTTTTATAGTTTTTTCCAGGGTTATTTTGAAGTCCAGTACTGTTCTTGTGTTCATGTTTCAGCTAGTAGACGTTTCATAGATCTATGTATCACCTTCTGCTTGAAGAATCATTTCTTTGTCTTTGTTCTTTAGGATGAATTAGTGAGCTTGATACTTCTTGTGTTTGTGGCATTTAACAACTTGGGTGTTTATGTCTTCCATACCTTTCAGGATAGTGAATGTCTTTAAGACGTCTGCCTTGTCGTGTCCTGTCTGAAAATCTATTGGTTCTAAGGCCTTCAGCTTACGTGGATAATTGAGACGATTTTGTTAGGTAATAATTTTAGTCGCACTGCGTTTCACTTTTCCTAGTATTTCTTCTCTTTCTGATGGTATGGCCTCCATGTTTATATACAGTAGATAAGGACATATGAGAAACTCAAAAATTAAACAAAATATATAGTGTTTATTATATTTCCTTTATATTCAAAGGTAAGCTACAATAACTCCTGGAATTTGGTTAGTTTTATCCCTGTTGGAGCAGCTGCTTTCGGCGATTTCAGTGCTTTCAGTTATTAGTCTATCACGGCGTCTCGGTCGTTTGTCTCATCTACAGGTGCTAGGAAGTGTCAAGTCATAGAGTCGTGTTTCGGGATGTGTGCCTTTCATGCAGAATCTTACATTTTGTTATAATAAAAAGGCATTTACCAGTCCTGTGACCATTTTATGGTTCGATCTGTATTCACCATCATCTTTAGTATACTGTAGATCACACACTGAGTGAAAGAGAGGACAGATTCTTGTGGTTCTCGAATTAATTTCTCGTTCCATACTGAATGATTGTTGATGATCACTTTTTCATGCATGCCCTTAAGCTACTGTTGAACTTACCCCAATATTTTGCCTATGATGATATGTGCTTGGATCTTATAACCTAACTCTTCACCTGGAAATACTTCTTCAAGCAGAGGGTGGTAGGTATATCTATAGAACAGTCAACCAGTTCAAGCTGTAGAATCGAAAATAGAACTGGGTTTCAAAATAGTCCAAGACTAAACCATCAAGAACAGGCCACTGGTCTCCTTCCCTCGGCATGGTCGCCTTTAGTGGGTTGTCATTAGGTAAATAAGGTACAGTATAGTCTGCATTTACGCGGTCAATTGAACCCGTGGAGTGCCGCATAAAACGAGAAACGCGTAAATGAAATAACAGAACATATGGGATTAATTGAAATAGAAACTGGGCCGACCCCCAAACTCCACTTTTTCCCACACAATACATACGCTGTAGTAAAAATAACATCTTAATTTTATGATGGTATGCACACACAATTACTAATTAAGAGACATATCAATAATATTAGGTTTTTTAATACTTACATTAGTAGAAAAGCTGGGTCGGCACACGTGGACGGCGGCTGGCTCCGAGGAAGAGGGCTGGTTAGTTGCCCTCCGGTGAATCACTTTCACTTACACTACTCGCAGAGGTTTGCAGGGCCTCCCAGACAAACCTCTCAAAGTCCATATCCTCACTGTCAATATCAATATCACTGACTTGGGCTGGCTGTGGTTGTGGTGGGTTGCGGGTGAGGAAGTCCTCAATACTACGTTGACGACTAGCATTGATGTTGTCGAGATAGATCTGGATATACGGCTCCATAACTTTCGTCAGATGGTTATTAGACGCTTCATACCGACGCTTGTCTGGGTCGTTGTCAAGGATGAGCTTAAGTTTCTCCCCCAACTCGATGATTTCCTTCACATTATCATGGCTTGGTCCAGGTAATTCAATGTTTTTCTCTAGTGGTGGGGGTCCCACGGAAGCCATTGTGAGTTGTGAGGGGAATAGCGGGCACAAGAGAGAACTGTATACACGGACTGAGAACAATAAGACAGGCCCTGCTAGGTCAGCGACTTCTACCCTCTGGTGGCAGGGCACATCATGATACATTAGACCAATCACAGCTAGCGGCGGAGGGAATGCGTGGGTGGTAAGGATGCGTGGCCTAATCACAGTCTGATACGTCATATGACGTCAGCGATAACGTAAGAGCGGCCTAATGCGCACCACTCACCGCGTTGCTTCCCACGTATGGTCAAGAATGGACCGCGTGGGTAAAAAATGGCGCGGCGGTCTGGACCTCTCCAGCCGCTCGCCTCGTAAATGACCAAATTTACCGCGTAATTAAAGCATTTTCATTTAGGCAAGGCACTGCATAAATGATCAAACGCGTAAACAAAAACCTCGTAAATGCAGACTATAGTGTAAATCTTCCTGAACTTTGACTACTTGAATTCTTCTTATATTGAATTGAGAATTCTCGCACTATGGGTTTCTGAGTAACAATTTTAGCATGTCTGTCTTTTTTTGTGCTGGAGGAGTAGACAATGAGGTGCTACTATAGTATGTGGTCTACCTAGCTGGAGTTGGTCTACCGGAATATTTACGCCACGCAGTGAATGAGTTGCTACAGGATCATGTGAGGCTCCTCATAACACCATCTGTGAGGGAATTACTACACCACGTGATGCCCCTCATAACACCATCCGTGAGGGAATTACTACGCTATGTGATGACCCTTATAACACCATCTGTGAGGGAATTATTACACCACATCAGACCCCGCATACACCATCTGTGAGGGAATTACTACACCACATCAGGCCCCTCATAACACCATCTGTGAGGGAATTACTACATCATCAGGCCTCTCATAACACATTCTGTGAGGGAATTACTACACCACGTCAAGCCCCTCATAACGGGTCCATGACAAAAACCCCACCGGACAAAATCCCCTAGGACATAAACCCCAGGACAAAATCCCCTCCGGACAAAAACCCTGAGGACAAAAACTCCACCTCTACCGGAAAAACCCCATCTTACTGGGAAAAAAACTCACAATGGACAAAATCCCCTCACAGTAAAAGATAAAACAAAATCTATTTTTAGTTTTTAATAGCTAACAGTATGAAATGTAATTTACCTGATAAAGAATAAACTAAAACTATATAAGCATCAACATTTACCTCAGGTTAAAAAAATATGACAAAATCTATTTGGAGTGTTTATTAATTTCTTACAAAACCACTTTGAAAATATCTCTTATTGCAACCTAACCTAACCTAACCTAACGGGTCCCCTGAGGTCTCAAAAAGTGAGGACAGTAATAGTAAGATAATATCAAAGTGGGGATTTTGTCAGGTAGGGGTGGGGATTTTGTCTTAGGAGATTTAGTCGAGTGGGGTTTTTGTCCTAGGGGATTTTGTCCGGTGGGGTTTTTGTCCATATCCCCCTCATAACACCACCTGTGAGGGAACTACTACTCCACGTGATGCCCCTCAGGAAAATTCCACTGAAGTACCAGATTTCAGAAGGGCGAACTTTGACAGTTTAAAGAGGCAGCTGAGAGAGGGGGTGTGGCGCTTGGCCGTGAACCTGACAGATGACACCGACCTGATAACGAGATCTGAGTTTGCCGAGTTCCACGACAATTTAAATAGTGAGTTACTTAATGCACAAAGGCAGAACATACGATACAAAAAACTCAGATCAGACAACAATGACCCTAAATGGATAAATAATTATTTAAAGAACATCATTGGCCAAAGGAAGGCTATAGGTAGAAGGATAAATCATGGCGAAATTCACCTCTGGGACTATTATAGGGTATTGGCGAGTAGGGTTAAAACCGAGATAAGGAAAGCAAAGAGGAATAATGAGGTAAGGATAGCAAGGGAGGCGAAGACAAACCCCAAAGGATTCTACCAAACGTATCAAACTAAAACACGAGAAAAGATTGGACCAATACGGTCAGACACTGGCGAACTCACTGATAACGACAGAGAAATGAGCAATAATTTGAATAAATATTTTTCAACAGTTTTCACCACCGAAAATTTAAACATGATACCCGAGGCACCGACTCTATTCAGAGATAGTGAAGAAAACAAATTAAGCGAGATAGTAGTGACTAGTAACAATGTTAGTAAGCAATTAGACAAACTAAAGCCTAATAAGTCACCTGGTCCCGATGAGATATTTGCCAGAGTATTAAAGGAATGTAAGGAAGAGCTTAGTATGCCCTTAGCAAAGTTGTTTAACATGTCCTTAAAAACAGGTGTAGTACCAGAATCCTGGAGGATAGCGAATGTAATACCGATTTTCAAGAAGGGGGATAGATCACTATCCTCTAAGTACCGCCCAATCAGTCTAACATCAATAGTAGGCAAATTACTGGAAGCAATCATTTCAAACTCTATTCGAAATCACCTGGAGAAGCACAGATTGATCAATGATTCCCAGCATGGCTTCACAAGCGGACGTTCTTGTCTAACTAATCTATTAACATTCTTTTCATCAGTTTTCAAATCGGTGGACGAGGGGCACAATTATGATGTGGTATATCTCGACTTTAGCAAAGCCTTCGACAGAGTCCACCACGAAAGACTAATTAGAAAGGTAGAAGCTCATGGCATCAAAG